GCCGCTTTCGATGTCTCCTGAGTGATCGAAAAATGCGCTACGATCCTACTAAAGCAACATCCATTATAAATATTTGTTGCGCTTTCCACAATATTTGTAAAAAATTTAGAATCAGTGATCCAGATGAAGCTGCAATTTTTATTGACACCGTTGAATCATCAGAGCCAATCAGTGAAGATGCCAATAATACATCAGGAGAGTGCCGCAGAAGGCAAATAGCTGATGCTTTGTTGTAAAATTAATTGCAGTTCGGTTTATTGAATAAGCTCAAAATCATTTACCTTAATTTTGTTCTTTTTATTTCATTTTATACTTCAGAATTCTTTATTATATACATGTTAAATTAAACCTAATTGTTTCTATGCTCTCAAACTTAATAAAAATCACAAGTTCAATTCAGTACCTTCATCAAATATTAAACTTAAAATTAATTCATCACATGCTTTTATAAATAAAAATAAAAAACACAAATTAAGTTCAGCCGTTAAAAACATATTAAACTTAAAACTAGTTCATCACATTTTTTATAAATAAAAATTAAAAAAATCACAAATTCAATCAACATAAACAAAAGATGGATATGAAACTAAAGAGTGGGAACCAAACCTGAAAATACAATCAAGTGTAATTTTGGCTGTATTTTAATGTTCTTAGTTCTAACTCCTTTAGTTTCATTTCCATATGCTGTCTTTTCTTCTCTAAAAATTTCTTCCCTCTTCCTTTCTTCCTTTAATTTCAATAAATTTAATTCTTCCTTTTTTAAATCGTACGTCTTTCTCATGTACCTCGCGATTTCTTCAAGCTTCTTCTCAATATTAGAAATCCTCTCTCAAAGTGTGTCTTACACTTCAGCCTGCTGTTCCAACGCTTTGATCCGAATGCTTTCCCGATCCTGAACTGTCATCCTTGGCCGTGGAGTTGATGATCGCGGTATCAAATAGGCATCTTGTGGAGCTTGTTCGCCTAGTGGCTCCTCTAAATAAATTCCGTTGCCACTCACCGCATTTTCTTCCACGTTCGTTC